GTACAGAAAACAAGCTGTTCACCTGTCCAATCGAGGGGTGCATAAAAGTGTTTCAACGGTACTCGTCGCTTGACAACCATTTACAATACGGTAAATGTGAGCTAAAAGAAGAGAAGGCCAGCTTATTTGATAAGGCTAAAATCACGTATCATGATAAGCTTCTTCATGGCCAAGGTCCTCAAYCAGAATTGGGACCAAATRCAAGTGATGCCACGCCCACCGAAAAAGAAACGCATAAACGAGGCTGGGAACTGAAAACGTCCAAGAATTTCGCACGTTTCACAAAGAAACAGGGGAGGCCAAGAAACTGGGCACAAAATGAATCCCTCAACCGTCGCGCGAGATAAGCGATACGCTAAGAATTTTGATGGTTCGCGTCAATTCAAAGTGGACGAATTCCTCTAAACAATCCAAGTGCAGTCCTATTTTTCTCGCAAAGCTGCCAAGCTTAAAAAAGCAACAGTTGAAGAGCGGGTGGCCATGGAGAATGATGATAAGGAGGAAGAAGAAGAGGGGGACAGTGATGGCGATGAAGAGGATACGGCAGCTGCTGAAGATGAAGCTGCATACTCACGAGCTCGCAGTACGATACTGGAAGAATGCAACCTACAGCACCTTATCTTGTTCGAATCTATGAACCTTTGTCAGTTATTTGCAAGTAGCAAAATGTCTAAGTTGTCCATCTTCTTACTACAGCTGATCTGCGAAGAACTGGAGTTAGACACTTCAGAAATATTAGCACGACGCAAGGCACCCTACATAAAGATCATCAGTGATGTTTWAAAAAAAATGCAGCTGTGTTTCGTAGTATAGTTGCAGTACGTAAGCCATGTTCACATTCTTCACGTTTTTCGTGAAAATATCTTTCTTGAACTTCATATTTTTTGGGTGGGACTGCGACCTCCCTTTTAGTTTTGGATACATTAAAAAACGTTTTATCTGAAATAGCCCAAGAATGTGGGCAATATAATTAAACGAAATCATATTTTATCATATCATGGTATCGCAAAACGTCTTTGTTTCGTTTTGCCATAGTCAGCGAGAGATTCGTATAACGCCAAAAAGTCACGCTCTCACCTCTACTCCCCCTCCCTCCCTCCCTCCCTTCTGGATCCACCTCATTGTGGGAGACCAGAAAAAGCGACTTAGTAGTGCCATTATTAACAAATAAATGTGTTTTGTTGGAATTTGCTACGCTCCATGTTAAAAACAGATCAGTTCGCTTCTGTCATTTGTATAGGAAATCGCACGATCTCGAGTACAATTTGGAAATTAATAGACACGAGTAATGTTTTGAAAGTTCTTATAATTGCACGAGCCTCTAGGCGAGTGCAATTAAAGAACTTTCAAAACATTACGAGTGTCTATTAATTCCAAATTGTACGAGAAGATCGTGTGATTTTTTGTTTATAGTTCACTCAACAAAATTTCAGTAAAAAA